AGGCCTTGGGTTACTGCTGGTAATCCTGTCTTCCTCTCGTGGGATTACAGGAAGTCAGAACATGTGGCCTCCTTGCCATTTTTGCAATAGTATAGTCAATATTCTCCACCAGCACTATAATTCAAAGGTATCAGTTCTTCTTCAGCCTTCCTTATTCATTGTCCAGCTTTCATATGCATAGAAACATCTAACCAAACTCACTGCCATCCAATTGGAGCCAACTCTTAACGACCCCTCCTTGGGTTTCCTAGGTGGTATCACTATGGAAGTAGATTGCATAGTCTTCCTTCCGCAGAGTGGGTGGTGGGTTTGAACTGACAGCCTTCTGGTTAGCAGTCAAATGCCTTAGGCACTACGCCACCAGAGCTCCTTAAATAAGTAGAGTGAAAGGATATAACCCTTACACACACCTTTCCTGATTTTAAACCATGCACTATACCCTTTTTTTCTTGAACTGCCTTTTGGTCTATATACAGGTTGCACATAACCACAATTAAGTGTTCTGGAATTCTCATTCTTCACAACATTATCCATAATTTGTTGTGATGCACATAACCCACTGCCTTTGCATAGAGAATAAACATAGATAAACATTTTTTCTGGTAATTGCCTTCAACCAAAATCCATATGACATCACCAGTGATATTCCTTGTTCAGTGTCCTGTTTTGATCCTTCATGACTTTCTGACAGTTTTCTGTTTATATTGCTGTAAACATTTTTTAATTATTTTCAGCAAAATTTTACTTGCATGTGATATTAATGATGTTGTTCAATAATTTCTACATTCTGTTGGATCATTTTTCTTTGAAATGGGCATGAATATGGATCTCTTCCACTCAGTTGGCCAAGTAGCTGTCTCCCAAATTTCTTGGTATAGATGAGTGAGCACTTATAGCACTGCATCCATTTGTTGAAACATTTCAATGATATTCCATAGTCAATTCCTGGAACCTTGTTTTTCACCAATTCTTTCAGAGTACATTGGGCTTATTCCTTCAGTGCCATTGGTTCTTGATCATATGCTGCCTCCTGAAGTGGTTGAATATTGACCAATTCTTTTTGGTATAGTGACTCTGTGTTTTCCTCCCATCTTCTTTTGCTGCTTCCTTCATTGTTCAATATTTTGCTCATAAAATCCTTCAATATTGCAATTCAAGGCTTGAATTTTTTCTTCAGTTCTTTCAGGTTGAGCAATGCTGAGTGTGTTCTTCCGTTTTGGTTTTCTAATTCCAGGTCTTTGTATCTTTCATTATAATACTTTACTTTGTCTTCTTGAGCTGCCTTTTGAAATCTTCTGTTCAGCTCTTTATCTTGTAATTTCTTCCATTTGCTTTAGCTACTCTCCACTGAAGAGCAAGTTTTAGAGTCTCTTCTAAGGTCCATTTTGGTCTTTTCTTCCTTTCCTGTCTTTTTCATGACCTTTTGGTTTCTTCATGTATGATGTTCTTGATGTCATCCCACAACTCATCTGATCTTCGTTTGTTGGTGTTCAATGTGTCAAATCTGTTCTTCAGATGGCCTCTAAATTCAGGTGCAATATAATCAAGGTCATATTTTGGCTCTCTTAGACTTGTTTTAATTGAGACCAACAGGTTGTTTTAAGAGTAACAGTTAGTTAGTAATTGTTAGACTAATGGTTGTTAGTCTTGCAAAATTCTATCATGCAATCTCTGGCATTGATCACTAATATCACTAAGACCATATCACTAAGACCATATTTTCCAACAACCAATCCTTCTTCTTTGTTTCCGCCTTTCTCATTGCAGTCACCAGTAATTATCAGTGCATCTTGGTTGCATGTATGATCATCTTACTGCCAAACTTCATGAAAATCTTTTTCATCTTTGGCATTAGCGATTCGTGCATACGTTTCAATAATAATCATACTAACTTGTCTTCCTTATAGGCATATGGATATCATCCTGTCACTGACAGCATTGTACTGACAGCAATGACAGGATAGATCTTGAAATGTTCTTTTTGATGAAGAGTATGAGACCTTCCTCTTTAACTTGTCATCCGGCATAGTAGATCTAATAAGATTCAGATTCAAAATGCCCAACACCAGTCCTTTTCAGGTCACTAATGCCTAGGATATCAATCTTTATATGTGTTCCATTTCATTTTTGATGACTTCCAAATTCCTATATTTATGCTTCGTAAACTCCATGTTCCAATTAATGGATGGATGTTTGCAGCTGTTTTTTCTCATTTTGAGTCATACCCCATCAGCAAATGGAGGTCTCAAAAGCTTGACTCATTCATATAATTAAGGTTGACACTACTTTGAGAAGGCAGCTCTTCCCCAGTCATATTTTGAATGCCTTCCAACCTGAGTGACTCATCTTCTGGCATTATATGAGACAGTGTTCTGCTGTTATTTTAAGATTTTCACCAGCCTTCTTTTTTTTTTTTTTTAAGTAGATTTCCAGGTCTCTTTTCCTTGTCTGTCTTAGTCTAGAAACTCCACTAAGGCCTGTCCACCATGGAAAACCCTGCTGGTATTTGAAATCCTGGTAACATAGCTTCCAGTATTGGAAAACTGCCCCTACTTGGCTATAATTCCCAGAACAGGAGACCTTATCTGATTTGTTCACCACTGTATCTCTCTAGAACTTCATTTGGAAGCGCTGATAAAAATAATAAATGAGTAAAGGAATAATTCAATATCAGTATCTGTGTTGTCCCAGGTTGCTAATCAATTGACTTACTTTTTTAAATTTAAGTCCTCTTTGCAGCTAGTTCATTTACTGCTTAGTTGCTATAAGCAATTTATGACAATGCATTTATATTCCCACAATAAGCCTCAGTACACAAGGCTTGCAGTTAAATAAATAGGTAGTTATATCTTCTTGTTTTCACCTTTGTCTTACATTCAATTTGGCCATTTCTGGTCACATAGTGCCTAAGGCACTTGACTGCTAACCAGAAGGCTAGTGCTTAAAACACACCAGCCACTCCTTGGAAGGAAGGTTGGGCAATCTACTACTGTAGTGATACTGCCTCAGAAATCCAAGGAGGGGTCTCTGTGAGTCAGGTCTGACTCAATGACACATAACAACAACAACAACACTCTTAGACTCTTAATCTCAACTTCTTGTTCCGTAAGATTTTATTTCTGTTCTTAACCACCTTCCTTAAGTCTTTGATCATAAATTGTACCATGTTCAACATCATATTATTGTTTATATTGTAATCTTAGATTCCTAGATAGTAAGAAAGGAGACTTAGAAAGAAAGGCTTAGAAATAACATTAGTTCAAATGGAGTAAATCAGACTTTCACATCTCAGAGTTGCCTATGAAATGGTGAACATTGTTTAAATATATTCATTTCTCTGAATTTTGTATGAAATTTTTGTAATAATAACCGCACTCACCATGTACTCCATATTTTCAAAAATGCTTTACATTCTTCTCTGATTCTAAGGACAAACAATCCTGTGTATTTGGGCTGAAAAATTCCTTGAGTGTTGAAACAACTAAGAGATTGAATAACTAGTGGAATTTGTGGTTTTTGAGATACAGAACTGACAGTACAAAAAGAAGTCACTGTAGTCGTTATATGTGTTTTTTTTTTCATAACATACTTTAGCAATACATAGATTAAAGATCATTATGTAATGAAAATCATAATATGTGGTTTTCGTAGGGCTTAGGACATAGTAAATGCTAATAGCTTTGTTTCAAATTGGTCTAGAATAAAAGGATGCATTGAGCATATTAGGGCAAAAGAGATACTTGTTCACTATCATCAATGAAGAAAAAAAATTTACATTTTAGTTTTACATTGACCAGGTTGTAGTCAAGATAGTGAGCCTATATTTTAAACAAACTCCACTGGTTTCCATAAAATCTTTTAATCTTGACTGGTAATAATAATGAGAGTAGATTTAGTATAGTGTTTTTTAATTGTAAAATATATTTTTACTTACAGTAACACATATAACCTTCTCCTAGCTGCCTCTAATATTAACAACTTACAAACCTTAATACAATGTTCAAAACCTAGGAATTAACTTTAAAATAATATTAATTCCACACATGTAATTAGTAGAAGGAACTAAAACTAAGGCAATACTTATATGTATTTATATTAGTAATTATACTACAGAGTTTTCATATAAAATTAATAAATTATTGTTTGACAATATAATAATAAACAGAACACAAATTCATAAATTCCATTTTATATTTTTTCCTGCCAATATACTTCTTCGTCTTGAAACAACATACATACATACATTTTAAAGGGACTTAAGAAGTTCTCCGCTAATAGCAGTACTTAAGTTACTTTTAAAAGATGTATATATTTTGCTCCAGATTCTCTTCCTCTAACTCAGCAGTGTATAACATACTATCCTCATGAGAAAAACCTTGCAATTTGATGACTTGTTTCTATACGTGGGAAACAATGTATTTTACCTTCACAAACACACCTTGTTAGACCAATTTTTTTGCTCATCTGTGTACTGATAAATTAGGCAGACTATCGCAATGATACTGAATACAACATGAGAATTACATCTCTCTTATTCAAATGCTACAACAAATATATAAGTAAGTTTTATAAATGACAGAGAAGAATTTTGAATTACTTGACATTTTGTGGTTTAAGAACAATACTTGAATATGATCTTATGCATGAAAATGCATAGGGTGATATTTCTCTTGTTTTAATGTAATTGTTTTCCAAATGAAGATGTTCTAGAGTTGAGTCACCATCTTCTTCAGCTTTGCAAATTTGTTCTGGAAGAATATTCCTAAGGAAAAATATACATGCAAATCACCAATGGTCCAAATAATAATCTGCCTTTATAATTTATAAGTTAAATTTTATATTTGTTAAATAAAGATATTTTGTCCTTAAAATAAATTTGGATTCTTTTCTCATATTACACATCAGCTAAATTCTATCAGTGATCAAAGTGTGAAAACTAAAACCATAAAAGTACTGGAATAAAACATGGTTATTCCTTAGAAGTAGGGGAATTTTCCTATTTCTGATTCAAAACCCAGAAGCACTAAACACAAGGATGATAAATTGACTATATGCTTAAAAAATAAAAAGTAATTATGCAAGGACAAATAACAAACTGGGAGAAAGTGTTTTATCTTATTTCATAGATAAAAGGCTAACATAAAATGACCTCCTAAAAATCTAGGAAGAAAAGGGAAAAGAACAAATCTGTGGGTTACCAGCTCACAGAAGGAAAAAATAGAAATGACCTATAAACATAAAAAGTTCCTCAATTTTATTCATAAGAAGAGAAATGGAAAGTAGAACTATTTGCAAAAAATGTCCAAAAGTTCATTAATATATTTTAATGAGGAGGCTGGAGGAGAGTAAATATTATTGAAGTGAATGCAAAATGACATGACCTCTGTGGAGAACATTTTGGCAATATGTAGCAAATTGTTATGTGCATTTCCCCCTTTTCACTCAGCAATCCCGCTTCTAGGAATCTATCACAAATTTAAACTAGAGAAATAACAAAGTGAGAGTTCAACAGAGTCATTCATTGTGACATTTTTAGCTATAGTAAAAGGGAAACAATCAAATGCCTATCAAAAAGGACTTGATTGAACAAAATATGGCACATTCATACAAAGAAATACTATCCAGTTGTAAAAAGAAATGAGGAATGTCTTGATATATTGATATGAGGTGATATCCAAGAGATATTGATAATTTAATAGAGCAAAAAGTAGAAAAAGCACACACACTATTTATCTGCTTATTTAATGCTCCTCTTGTATAATAATTGTGGATAAGGATAGAGGAATATGTGTATGTTTGTATATGCATATTTGAAAAAAGAAATATTGCAAAAATAAACTAGAAATTAATTTAAATTTGAACCTTTGAGCAAAAATAGAATAGGGTATAAGAGCAGACTTCTCTCAATATTTATTAGACAGTTTTGACACAGGAAATGTATAAATGCCTACTACAGAAAATAGTATTAGTTCAAAAAGAAAAAAGCAATTCTTAAAAACCGAAACAAATGACCTATCTGAATATTAAATCGTTTTCTTTATGTTGAGGTATAATCCATACTGTAGACTGCAATCTTTCATCTTCATCAGTAAGTGCTTCAAGTCATTTTCACTTTCAGCAAGCAAGGTTGTGTTGTCTGCATTTCACAGGTTGCTAATAAGTCTTTCTTCAATTTTGATGCCACATTCTTCTTTATATAGTAGCCTTCTTCTTGTGGTAGTCTATAATTACTATTCTTCAGCAACGTCATAATTCAAAGGCATCAATTCTTCTTCGATCTTCCTTATTCATTTTCTAGCTTTTGCATGCATCTGAAGAGATTGAAAATACCATGATTTAGGTCAGGTGCACTATAGTCCTCAAAGTGACATCTTTGCCTTTGAACACTTTAAAGAGATCATTTGCAGCAGATTTGCACAAAGCAGCACTTTGTTTGATTTCCTGATTGCATCTTCCCTGGGAATTGTGGATCCAAATACAATTAAATTGTCACAATTTCAATATTGTCTCCATTTTCATGGTGTTGCTTTTTGCTGCAGGTAGTAGGATTTTATTTTCTTGATATTGAATTGGAATGCATACTGAAGGCTTTTATTTTCAGCAGTGCTTCAAGTCCTCTTCGCTTTCAGCAAGCAGTTGTGTCATCTGCCTATCAAAGGTTGTTCATGAACTTTCTGACAAGCCTCATGTCATGTTCTTCTTAATATAGTCAGCTTCTCAGATTAATTGCTCAGTGTACAGATTAAATAAGGATGGCAAAAAGATAGAGCCATAACATACACTTTTCCTGGATTTAAACCATGTACAGTACCCTTGTTCTTTTTAAACAGCTGCCTTTTGGTCTATGTACATGTTCTGCATGAGTAAAATTGAGTGTTAGAGAATTCTCATGCTTAACAATGTTATCCATAATTTGTTATGATCCACACAATCAAATGCCTTTGCTTAGTTACTAATACAAAGGTAAACATTTTTCTAGTGTTCTCTGATTTCAGCCAAGATCTATCTGACATCCACCATGATATCCCTCATTTCATGTCCTCTTCTGAATCCATATTGAATTTCTGGCAGTTTCCTATTAATGTACTATTGCAACCATTTTTTAATTATTTTCAGTAAAATCTTACTTGCATGATGTATTAATGATATTGTTTGATAATTTCCACATTCTGTTGTATCACCTTTCTTTGGAATGGGCACAAATACAGATCTCTTCCAGCCAGTTGGCCAGATAGCTGTCTCCCAAATTTCTTGGCAGAGATAAGTGAGTGCTTCCAGTGTAGCATCCAGTTGTTGAAACATCTCAATTACTATTCCGTCAATTCCTCAAAGCTTGTTTTTCACTAATAACTTCAATGCAGCTTAGAATTCTTCCTTAAATAACATCTATTCTAGATCATATGTTATATCCTGAAACGTTTGATCATTTACCAGTTCTTTTATAAAGAATTATGTGAAGGCCTTCTCTTTGTCAGCTCTGGCGGAAAGTGTTGTCTATTTTCAACATCTGTGAGCCCAGCATCCCTTGTAGATCACCATATGTCTTGACATCAGTATTCCATTGGGTCTAGTAGGTTCTCAGTATAGGCACCCTGGGGCCAAAGGATGTGCTCTGCTCCCTACTCCTCTTCCTTGGTGGTACTAGGGTCCCTCTATCTCTGCTAACTCCTCTTCCTTGGTGGTACTAGGGTCCCTCTATCTCTGCTAACTCCTCTTCCTTGGTGGTACTAGGGTCCCTCTATCTCTGCTAATGTCTCTCCTTTTATCTTTTGGAACATAAAATGTAATGCACACCATACCTCAGGGAAACTGTCCTTAAATAGGTTCAGGGCTGTAACCTGAGTAAGGTTGGTGACTTAAGAAGTCAGGATGACACATCCCACACTAATAATTCCCCATTAATGTAACAAACATAAACCAGTACTCTTTAACATAATCTAATACTGCTTCATTAACCACAGGCAGAGGTTAGGTATTACAATATATTATAAAGTGGCACATACTCACAATATTGGGAATCATGGCGTAGCCACGTTGACATATTTTGAGGGACATAATTCAATCCATGACAGCATGTAAGTCAAATGACTCCAAAAGGAAGAAAAATGTGGGACAGTCTACAGGATGCCTGGCCTTATTTATTCAACAATTCAAAAAAGAGGTGGGAATTATTAGTTCTCTAGACTAGAAGAGCATTACAAATAAATGTCCCATATTTGCATCCCAATTTGAACAAACCAACTATATAAAAACATTTTTGAGACAAATGGAAAAATTTGAATATGGAGAATGTTTATCTAATACTAAGGAAGGAATTATTTTTTTAAAGTTGTAATAATGGCGTTATGACTATATCACAAAATGCCATTTGGGGGGAATGTATGCTGAAGTATGTAGTATTAAATAGCATGATATTTAGTGTTTGTTTTTTTAATTTTTATTTTAATTTTGGTGAAAATGTACACAGCAGAACATATACCCATTCATCACTTTCTACATAAGCAATTCTGTAACATTGGTTACATTCTCTGCATTGTGTAACTTCATGTTGGGTTACTATCTCCCCAGATTGTTTACACTCACTCATTTCTCATGGTGAACATTCTTTACTAATTCAGCTAAACAATTGTTTAGTTTAAAGATGACTTCAAGGGATAATTTCAGTTTATGATTTGAAGGTTTCCTCGGTGATAGTTCCTGGATTCCTGTAGTCTCACTATGTCCAGTAAATCTGGATCCTGTGAGAATTTGAAATTCCATTCCATTTTTCCTCTTTTAGTCAGAATTCGTCTATTGATTCATTGATCATACGTTCAGTAATGGTAGGTAGCCAGGGGGCATCCAGTTCTTTTGGTCTTATGGCAAAGTAGACAATAATAGATGGAGGCAGTTAAACCTGTAGTTTAGTTCCTTCTCTGATTTCATAATCTCCCTCCTTTGCTGCTCCAGGTGAATAGATATCATTAAGTTGTACAAGAGGTGAATAGAGACTATGTGTTCTATCTTAGATAGCCACTCACAAGCTTTTAACATTTCAGTCCCTTCTCACTTCACCTATAGAGTGGAACAGTAACTTTAATGACAGTATTAGACCAATTGACCTGACAATCCCATGAAGCCATGACCCTGACCTTTTGAACCAATAGAACTAATCCCAAGATTATATATAATCTTTATATATAAAGATACTTAAGAGTATCAGCTACTTTAGCCTTTTTTTTTTTTTTTTTTTTGATTGGTATTGTTGTTGTAAACTTATATGTAATATAGTATTTGCCATTTTTACTTTTTCTGGTGTACAACTTAATGACATCAGTTATACTCATCAACTTGTGCAACTTTACCCTTAATTGTTGCCAGTTTTCTCATCACTATAATAATAGTAATAGCCATGTACAATAGAACAAAACACTGCTCAGTCCTGTACCATCCTCACAATCCTTGGTATATTTGAGCCCACTGCAGCAGCCACTGTGACAGTCCATCTTATTGAAGGTCTTACTCTGCTGACTCTCTACTTTACCAATCATGATGTCCTTCTCCAGCGATGGGAGCCTCCTAATAACCTGACCAAATTACAAGAGACAAAGTCTTCCCATCCTTGCTTCTAAGGAGCATTCTGGCTATATACTTCTTTCAAGACAGATTTGCTTTTTCTTCTGGCAATCCATTGGTATATTCAATAATCTTTGCCAATACCATATTTCAAATGCATCATCAGTTCTTCAATCTTCTTTATTCATTATTTGACTTTCACGTTCA